TTCGGTCGCGGCATCGGCGGCTTTGACTGGTGAGTCCGCATGAGACCTACTTATAACGATATTGAGCCGTCCTTTCAACGGTCGGAATTTGGGCGGTATGCTGTCCCACGTCTTGCGGCCCATGATCACGGCGTTCATAGTGGGGGTTGAATTGCCACCTTGGCTCTGGATGGGCTGTTAGAATTTTGACTTCCCTCATTTCACATATTGTATTTTGGACAAAATCAAGAATCAAGTCTTACGGCAACTGATGGTAGGCGTTTGGTCACTCGGGCAAAGTAGGCCATCTCTTTCTTCAAACCCGTCCAGGGCAGCGTGCCATTGCGGCCAATGCCCATGTTGCGGGTCGCTGCCACGACGAGAGTCAATTCGAGGGAAGGCATCTCCAACGTGCTTTCAGACATCAGATTCGTAGGTATCGGGCAGTATTTGCACGATATGATTTAAAAAAAAAATTTTGAGCTGGACAAAATACAATAGAAGTGCCTCTTGAGGTGTCACAAATTGTATATGGTGGGGTTAAATTGGCAAATTGGCCGTGGACGCGCTTCACCGCGCTGAAGTTTTAGTGGCCGTTGCACTTAATCTTTACCCATCTTGGAATTTCATCTGGATCAGGGAAAGCAGATAGCGGCGCACCGTAGGATGATGTCTATTGCACGTATCTACTTTCCGTGGTGACGATATGAAGGCCTTCAATTACTTAGACTAACGATAATCATTTGTCTACAGCTCTTAACAGTTCAGTTTACTTACAGTCATGCGGTCTCAAAATATCTACTTTGACGAAGTCAAACGCTAGTGGTTGCCCATATGGTATGTGGTATGATAGAATATATCAAACTACCCGATATTCGCTTGATGTCTTCGAGCCCTAAACCAGACGAAGGATATTTTTTTTAAGAATTCAAGCGACAGCAACAGCAACAGTAACCTTGCTCTGCTCCTCCATCCTCTTCGCCTCCTCTCGCTTCATGGCTTCCTGAATCCTAACCCGTTGCGGGACCACACGCTCTCGCGGCCCCGTGATCGTCCACCCTTTCAACTTTTCCTCGCCAATAGCCTTCATAGTCTTCCTCTCTACTATAATAAAAAAAACAGGTGCAAGAGTCAGCCAATACGTAAAGAATACATACATGAGAATGATGGGGAAGCTTTTACATACCTAAGCTATAATTCCCATCCTCTCTATCGAAGCAATGCGGCGCCTGGAGCGACACGGGCGGGTTCGTGATAATCCGGACCCGTCGCAGCGGGTTGGTGCTCGCAGAATGCATCATGAGCGGGTGCAGGACATACACATCGCCCACGCTGCCCGTGACCTCGACGAAAGCCTCGTCCGGGACGTCGCGCATTCCGTCCTGGTACCACTCGGCGTTCTTCTTCTCGGCCGTGAAGTCCGCGTCGTCCCGCGGCCGCATCCACGGCGACACCCCCTGCGGATGCGCATGCAGCCAGCGCGCGACGGCGTCGATGCCGGGGGGACAGATGACGGTGCCGCCGCCCGAGGGCACCACGTCCGTGAACAGCGGGGTCACGAGCAGCGCCTGCTCGGGGCTGTCGAGGTAGTGCACGAAGAAGTCCCCGTCGACGTGCCAGCCAGGTAGATCCCGCGGCGCCACCGGCTGGCCCTCGCCCGCGGCCGTCCCCAGGTTCACGATCAGCGAGTCCCGCCACTCTCTGCTCACGGGGGCTATTCGCTCCTCGCCGCCGCAGAGTTCGCAGATCGCCGACCATGCTTTCGGTGCGAATTTCGACACGTCAAATATGCGGTGCGATGGCATCTGTTGTTTGTTTGTCAAAGGGTCAGTGAGCTCCTTTCTTTCTCCTTTTGTCCAGCTTTGTTACATTGTCGGATCTCTCCAAGTATGACTAGTCGGCCGCGCCGACGACAAGCGAGTAGATAGGTCTTATTTTTTTTGTCCCCCATACCTTGTAGCGCCACCCTCTGTCTGAGATCCGAGAAAAGAGCAGATACGGTAAGATATACGGTAAGATGGTGAAGTAGCATGGACAAAACCACATACATTCGTCCGTTCCTTAGCCCAGGTACTTTTGTCCGTGGAGGACATGCCGAGACGTGTCCACACACCTTCGCAGACTTCGTCAGCCTGCTCGCGCGTGAAGCAGTTGGTGAGCTTCAGATAGCCATGCTGGAGAAAGAAGTCCTTCTCAGCATCTGTGAGGGGCGCTGGTGTTGATGCCATATTAACTGCACTTTTATCTATCTCCTATATGTAATGGTATACGATTCCGAGTTGACTTCACTTGTAAATTCAGTCGTTACGTATTATATAGGGGTTATTTAAACAATTATGGCTAGGTCGTAAGGGGAGACCTCTACGTCCGTTTCTATGGTCTCGTGGCTCGACACCCTCGTGGCCATGTCTCCGTAGACCGGACCCGGCGCGGGGGGGTTGGGGTACTGCAATTTATTGGAGGGACGTAAGAGCTGCGGAGAAGATTACACGACACTGTATGTATGTGCCTGGCCGCAATTTCAAGTGGCTAGAGACGGAACAGCATCCAGGCCGGCTAACCTGGGACCTAGGTAGGCTACACGAGAAGCACCACGAAGAGAATCTGCACGCTCTCTGTATTTGTCTGGTATTCTTTCTTGAGCTCTCTTTATATCTATGTCTGGCGCTAACAGGAATGCCCGATTCTATCTAATTCTTCAACCATATCTCTTTCTTGTCTTCAGTTATGAGGCAGATTTCATGTTCGATTCGTGACAATACTCATGAGCTCCCGCCTCGAAGGTCGGAGAGTTTATCGACATAGTACGCAGGGACAAATGCGGCGCTCTCCGCCTCCCAGTCCTCTCTCTTCGAAACGCCGGTGAGCACGGCCAGCGTGCCGCCGAGCCCGCCCTCGATGCCGAACTGAATATCGGTGTCGAGACGGTCCCCAACCATGCATGTGCGGGCGCGGTCGAGGCGAAACTTGCCCTCGATGGCATCCATCATGGCCTGGGAGGGCTTGCCGAGGGCGGTTGGCTTCTCGCCGATCATGTTGACGAGCGGGACGGAGATGGAGCCGGCGCCAGGGAAGAAGGTCTTGCTCATGGGCAGTGTGCTGTCGAGGTTCGTGGCGAGAAACACCGCGCCCTGCCGCAGGTACTGGTACGCCATGGAGAGCTTGAGGTAGTTGACGTGGAAGTCGAGGCCCGCGAGCACGATGCCGACGTCCGGGTCCAGCAGCGAGCCGTCGGCAAGCCCGGCGAAATCGGCCTGCGTTATGTCTCGGCGCAGCTCCGGGTCGGTGCCCCCGACGAACGGCACGTTTTCCGTCCGCAGCTCCTGCTCGATCCCGCTCTCGCCCAGTACAAACACCTTGTTGCGTGGCCCCGGAAGCTTGAGGATCCGCGAGATGTAGATGGCGGCCGAATATGCTGATGCGAAGACCTCCTCTATGTTGCTAGGGATACCCAGCCCTGTCAGCTTCTTTTGGTAATCTTGCCGAGATTTCGTCGAGTTGTTCGTCACAAACACGACCCTCTTTCCTGGACATCGATTAGCCATAAAGCAGTTCATCTAGTATAACGTTTGACTGCATAAAATTAAGTCCGCTAGAGATAACAACGAGTAAACAAGGTTGAATTTGTATTACCAACCTTTGGATCTTAGTAGTTCTAAGGTCTCAACAGTCCCTTCAAAAAGATGATCTCCAGACCATAGGACGCCTGTACAGCGCAGGAGTCAGCTTCATGATCTAAAAGTGGCTCAGTTCGCATTGTTTACCATCGCAGTCAAATAGGAAGACCTGGGTACAAATTGTGAGATGATTGCGCAGAGAGCGTATCAGTATGGTCGTAGAGGGATTTAACGCACATCGAATTTATCCAGAAACTCGCCGATCGCGGCAGAGTCGCCGGTGAGGTACTTGGATTGAACCATTTGCCTAACTACTTGACGGAGACAACGGCAGCGGTGAGTTTCCGGGGTGCTGAGGAACAGTGGGATGGTGCTATCGTCGAGTCTCGACTGTTCGTTGTAAGCGTGATGGACCGTTGTTCGGTGTCGCGGGCCGGAGACATGCGGCGCTATCATCGTCTCCGGTCTCGCGCGGCGGACTGCCCGCCGTAGTACAGGCTCCGTAATACAATGAAAAACATCATTATAAGCAATCGAGATACCACTCAGTATAGTCTGCGCAGCTTCATGAGAAGATAGGGTAGATTGAATCCTTTTCGAATAGAACAGAATAAGTCGCTATGGCTATATTGATTTTACTATTATCGTTTTCTTCGGGGATTGACTTGATCCAGCATATCTACAAAGAGAGCGTGGCACAGTTAGTGAAGCTCCAGTAAACTACAGTACCTGTGGGAAGGTACGAGGGACAGTGTATTAGAATAGCCCCTCACAGTGGATGCCCTGTACCAGTCTCCATTGCTTCTACAACCTTGCAATACACTTTGCTACAGATCAATTGGTGAGAGCCGTAGTACCTAAAGCTAAGGTATCTTGTCTTGCCCTCCATCATGGATCTAACACCTACCACTACTTGCAGTGCTCAATTCCCTACCTACCCTAACCTACCCTACTGCCTATTTACTTATGTAGTAGTTCTCATCTGCACTAGGCTAGTGTGCCACAGCCGTCATTAGCCGTCATTCTGACCCTCAAGAGTTGTCAGAGCATCGTCAGATTTGTCGCCGTTGGTGAATCTCCAGCGTTGAAAGCCACGGATCTTTCCAGTTGTGCGTGTGCAGGCTAGCTCTGGGCAGGTGTACTAACCGGTCACGCGGGCCCATGATATATTTCACCCCGTCATCATTTCGACCTCTGTTTGCCAATTGCGAGTCACAGCAAGTGCTTAAGGAAAAGGAGCATATTTTCAGTTCGTACCTAATGCACAAACTACTTGCCAGTAAATACTTAATTAATTAAGTACCTACTTACATACCCATTTTACATGTTAAAAAGAAAGCTTTAAAAAACCACATATCAAAAGACAAGGCTAGATAAAAGTAACGCAAAAATGTGAGTTGTGAAAGGATCGAATGGGAATTGAACCCATGACCTACGGAACTGCAGTCCGTTGCTCTACCACTGAGCTACCGATCCTAGGTCCAAGGCTAACTCGATGTGGCTTGTTGAAAAATGGGAACCTAATATCATACCTATCGTGCTAATTGTGGTTCATCATCATGTAAAAGTAGCGTCCCGTACGGCTTGGACCATGTATCGTATCGGTACAATCCTCGACAAGGCGGCTACTTAGGAGATGAATTTCCCCCTCGGAAATAAGCGTGGGCTGAGGTATACCGTTGTTAGTGTCGCTAAACATGGCATGGCATTCTGGATTCTTCAATTCTCTTTGCTATCGTGTCTACATTTTGCTTTCTTGCGCGAGCGTTCTACGTCTTTACGCTTACGTTTTGTGGAGTGACTAGAGCGACTTCCTAGGAAGTCGGAAAGGAAGTCCGTCAGAGATACTCAAATCCGTTTGTGTGATAAAACGGTTAACTTGGAATTTTATTGCTGTGCGTTTACCTACGGTAAGGCGGAGTGACCGTGGATATATATTAAAGTTATGCAAAATGATGTGTTCATTTGACTTGTGCGAAAACGGGTCTGGCTCAGGTGAAGCTCCCATTTTGATTCAGCATGGTAAAACCTACCGGTATCTCAGAGCAGTAGGCATGTTGCGTGGAAATGCCGCCTGCCAATCAGACACTCCCAATTCAGACCAGATCCCTAGCAGTGATCTACCTTCCTGCAGGGCCCTTCCCTCCCCGAGCCGTTCGCTAATGGCCGCTAGTGGGCCCCGAGCTGACCGAGTTAGTGAATTACTACGTCAACATCCCTGCCTATCAACGATGACATCTACCCCGCTAGTCGGGAACACCACTGGAATAGTGTAGATCGTCACGGAAAGAACAAGAAAAGAGTTCATGGCTAGTGCGATACAGTAAATGCAGTCTAAAAATTTGAAACTTTGCGATGGTAATTTGATTGGCCATGGATCTTGAAGCCTTCAAATAAACGTGGCATTTGTTCCAAGTTTGACGGACTAGGTAGGTACACATGTACTAGGTATATCTGGTTCAAGTTAATATACAGTACAGTATGTACGTTTATGCACGCCATCCGAATCCCACCTACCCTTGGCAATCCACTGTGGTGGTGTACCCCGCGCCTACCAGATCCCACCCATAATTTTGTTAATGTTGGAATCATAGATTTCGTAAATAATCTATCTCTGTAAAAACTCATAGTTAAGTTTCATGAAATTGCTGCCAATGGAGTCCAAAATAAAATAAAAACCAAGGGGCAGAAAGAGCCAAATGCTAATACTCCACTTGTTGGCTTATTTAGTAAGTATCTGCGGCATATGTAGACCACTTAGTAGAGATTTGAGAAGGCGCGATAAGCAAGGGCATTAGTGATAATCCTGGTATATGACCCCACCTCCCGTCATCACACATCTCGTCACAACCCTCGCCCATGTCCCAACTTGCAGCTGCCCCGCCATTTATTTATTCATCTCATATCTCATCAGGGCATCTCTGGCAGCCTCGCCTCGACCCATTGACTCCCAGTTTTCTCTCACACAACAGTCATTTCAGCCATAATCACTGGCAGAGGTCTCTGCTTATCCGCCGCCATGCCGGGAAAGCAACCCAACCTGTTCGCTTTCAGCGATATCAACGCCCTCGCGCCGGCGCTCCGTTCCTATATCGTGACCTGTCAGAATGCCGGCTTAAGTCGCCACGACGCCTTCAAGGTTGCTGTGTCAGGCGGCTCTCTTCCCCAAACGCTCGCCCAGGCGTTACTCGCTGAACCGAAATCTAACGAAGACGTAATCAAGTTCGACAAGTGGGAGATCTTCTTTGCCGACGAGCGAGCTGTACCACTAGACCACGAAGACAGCAATTATGCGCTCGTCAAGAAGGAGTTACTAGACAAGATCCCTGCCTCTTTAGGCCAGCCCACCGTGCACCCAATCGACGTTGAGCATCTGGGCGATACGCAAGAGTTGGCAGATCAGTACGAACAGAAGCTCGTCGGCTCTTTTGCGAAGGGCGACTCAGTCAAGCTCCCCATATTCGACCTCCTCCTGCTCGGCTCCGGCCCAGACGGCCACACATGCAGCCTGTTCCCTGGTCATCCTCTACTGCGGGAGACCGACGCCTGGGTCGCTCCTATTGAGGACTCGCCTAAGCCACCTCCGAGACGTATCACGTTCACACTTCCTGTCATCACACATGCCGTCAAGATCGCATTCGTAGCTACAGGGCCGGGGAAGAAGGAAATTATTAAGGAGATTTTCGAGGTAGGCAACGGGCTACCATGCGCCCTTGTCAATGAGGCCGCCGGTGACCGCTGCAGCTGGTTTACCGATAACGCGGCTGTGGAAGGCGTCCAATTCCCTCGCAGGGGTTTCCTATAAACCCAAAAAAAATCCAAAATAAGGCAACGCGAATCAACCCAAGTCTCATATCACTGAGGTGGTATCCTTGTCCCCAAGATGCTGCTCGTCACATAACTCTGCGACATTGTTGTGTTTCTTGAGATAATATGTACGACCAAGCATTGGTTAAGTGGGGGGGATTTCCTATTTTGCTCTATCATCTACACAAGCAGCGTGTTCGATCCAGTCTGCTCATCACTTTGATACCGGACATCCCTGCACCACTGATCACATCACGTTTTTATCATGACGCGTTACGAGATACCGACGGCCTTAGATAGATCTGCTTTTCAGCCTCTACTCTTGCACAGCCAGCCCATAGCGCTATATTTTGCAGGAGAAAGGCGACCGGAAAATGGCGCAAAGGGCGGCACTTTCTTGATATGCGGTATAATATCGCACCGCAAGTGCACCATACCTGTTTGCGTTGTTACGCATTATAGAAAAAATAGTATCAAATAAAAGTTGTGTGTAAGCAATGTTCCTTATGGTATATCAACGTGCTCATAGAATTGCGAAGAAATCGTTGGTATCTGGTTCCTTAATTCGCCATGACGAATTCTCACGGTGGTCTACAGAGTTTCGGCTCTTATCAATGTTCAATCCTAATAGAGGCAGTAGTTTCATGCACCAGCAGGTCGTGAACATAATCTGGTCATTATCCGCAACCACGCTTTTCGAAGTTGCTGTCTGGACGAATATGTAAAGATCAACTACCTGTCGAGCTTGTTCTCTCTGATAAAGATTGACGAAACAATTGCGAGGATCAGAAAAGCTGTAACAGGCAGGAATGACCACTGTGTCGCGATGGCATAAGACTTTCGTACCATGGCCGCGACATCCGGATCGAGTCTTCGTATATAGTCCAGACTCAGACGAACCTGCTCCTCGATTTCTCTGGCTCGATCCGCACCGCCTAGCTTGTCTGCGAGATTCACACGTAACATCTGCTGCAGCGTCGCCATCGAGACGCTGATACCTATCGCCGCACCAAGTGATCGGAATAAGTATGAGCAAGCAATCACCACGGCAGTGTTTTCTGGCGTCGCATTGGCAATCATAGCAACGAGGGTTGTGGTAATGGCTGATTGTCTATATTAGTACTGACAGGTATTGGACGACTGAAATAGTACGATAACTTGAGAACTTACAAATGGAGTTTCCAAATGCGGCTATACCAAGACCTACGATGACAATGGTTGCCGACTGCTGGCCTGCGCCTAATACCATTGGAAGAGAGCCCAGTAGCATGAAGGTGTATCCAGCGAGTGTCAGCCAATAATACCGACCAGTGCGCTTCATAAGGAAACCTACTCCCAGAGATCCGGTGATGGCGAAAAACGTGATGGGCACGAATGCGAGGCCAGACGAGGTGGCAGTCATACCAAGCGCGGCCTGGAAGAAAAGAGCAATGAAAAATAAGACGCTCATGTTCCCGGCGAGGCCGAAGAAGTTGGCACCGTACGCTGCTAATAGGGGAGGGTTGAAGATGACGTGGCCGGGCGCGAAAGGCTCCATCGCCACTTTTGCCTCGACGAGTACGAAAATAGCGAAGAGCACGGGCGCCAGGGCCAGTGGGATGACGGTCATCTTCTTGGCCCAGCCCTCATTGCCCCCGTTGTCGAGGCCGGAGAGCAAGAGGAACACGGCTAAGACAAGCGTGAAGGCGCCAATGAAGTCGATGCGCAGGAACTTGGCGCTCCAGCGTGAATGATTGGTCTGTGGCAGATCGAGCACCAGATATACGGCCACGAAAGCTAGTAGTGCGAGTGGAAATTGGATGGCGAATGCCCTATCTTTGCATATCAGTATGACGCCGCGTCTCGAGAACTGGAACATGGGATATTGGACTGGGAAATCTCTTAATTGTAAACGACTCACCAGCGCCACCCGATATTATCAGCAAAGAGACCGCCGACGGGCGCTCCTGTCGACATTCCGGCCGCATACACGACATTTATGTACCCTTGCCAGACGCCCCGGTCACGCAGTGAGACCAAATCTGTCACCAGGATGGTGACTAAAGCATTCACTATGAGAACCTGTGTCAGTCGACTACACACCAAGGGAAACATATGAGAACTATAGCTGTACGGGGAGCGTATAAAGCCCACAAGGCACAATCCCAGCCCAGATAAGAGGAGTCCCTATTGAAACTAATGAAAGGGAAGGGAAAGGGGGATAAGACTTTGTGAATGACTTAAACTTACTCCCACCACCACCTACCCCCTGGATGGCCCTAGCAACGCACAACTCAACAATGTCCCGGGCAAGCCCACAGCCCAAACACCCGAGACCAAACACGGCGTAGGCGAACAAGAGACATGGCTTGCGGCCGAATATATCACTCAACTTGCCGTACAGCGGCTGGAACGTCGTCAGCGTCAGAAAGTATGCCGTGGCGATCCAGCTGGTGCTGTTCAGCGCCTTCAGCTCGCTACCTATCCTGCCGTACGTTGCGATGGTGAGCGTATGGTCGACTGCTACGAGGAAGATCTACAGTTCATTAAACCAGTTTCTATGTCAGCTTTCCGTCTGAATTGTCCGTTGTAGATTATGAGTCCACATCGGCATAAGTGTGTAAAAATTTCCTCACACCAATGGCCAGAGCCGGGATGAGTGCCAGTTTCACTCCTTTCGGCTTCGGCGG